CTTATTAAAGGGTGACGACTGTCATGGCCACATACACATTTTGTATGGATAAAAAATGAATGTGGGTATGTAGCTATGCATAGTATGGGACCCACATTGCAATAACTACAACCCATCAAAGCTAGTATACTTCTGATAACACTGAGAACATGGTTGATAAATCTTGAGCCCTTTCACTAATTACTGCATGCCATGAGATTACTTTGAATACTCTCGATTATTTTAATTTCATTAAAACTTAAACATTGCTAAATACATCAACACTGAAGGCACTGTTGCAATAGATGCACTATATATCATATTTGACAGATTTAGTGTCACAAAGAAAGAAATATTGCGTGCACTATCAACACTAAGGGCAATACCCCGGTATATCATATTTACAAAAAGAGAAATATTGCCTGCACTATCAACACTAAGGGCAATACCCCGGTATATCATATTTACAAAAAGAGAAATATTGCCTGCACTATCAAGACTGAGGGCAGTATATCATATTTACAAAAATAGAAATATTGCCTGCACTATCAAGACTGAGGGCGATACATCAATATAAGTCACAAGGGAAGAAACATTGCCCAAAATTAGAGATATGAACTTAACATCATTAAATTAATAAACCTGATCGAGGTCTACCCAGGTTACCTTGTGGGTGATGATTAGAAAATAACAATTAAAAAAAAAAGACTTACTGCTACACAGAAATTTTTCATCTGATCATCAGCAGCAGTAATCACATCATCACACAAAGAATCTGTAAAATTTTCAACAGGATATCCTAGAAAACAACATAATTACATGTACGTTATATAACCATGAATGAAGAAACAAATTTTCAGTGTGAGGAATGTTTGTGATTTGGAAAAAAATGACATGAACGTTACATGAATTTTCCCTGGTGAGAATTTTGCTGCTACAGAATATTATGACTTCCACAAACCATTGGTATACCTGAGATTAAAATCGTTTAAAGTAATACCCAAGTTTTATTTTGTGTAACATTCTCCCTGTTGTGACAATCATAATTTTAATTTTATCTGTGCCTTAAAGGGCGGCAGTCATCACACCGCGTCCTGTTCGATATGGGACTCATAGCGACGTATACAACGCGTGTAAAATACATTTATTTACATGAATTCGAACAGGCGCTGCGCGACGACCACGGCGCTTTAATGGTAAGCATCAGAGAGATGCAGAATTCAACATCGGTGATAGCAGCAGGGATACAAATAAAATCACATTATGCCAACTTTTGATTATTGTTTGGGTTTGCCTATAGCAATGCACTTTAAATAAAGTAATAATTAAGAAGAATTACCGTATAGAGTAAGATTTAAGTCAACTTTGTAACTTTCATCAAAGCAATAAATGCTGTTGAGTACTGACAGCAGCTCCATAAGTGGAATAAGCGTTAATGCAGCAAACAACAACCACCCGAGAAATATTATATACGTGAAACCAATAAACTGAAAGAGTACAAACAAGAAAGACATGTTGATGGTTTGGCATCATGGTTATTAGAGATACTGAATGTGTATCATTTGTTACAAAGAGATTCGTGAATTATGGTTAATGGTATTGTCAGTATCCTGCATGATTTAAGTTATGGGCTTAGATTCCTGTAGGTTTTTTGTAATGTAGTCGAGACCGCTACTTTAACCATACAGTGTGATATTAGGCCAGACTTTTATTATCCCTTGTTTTGCAAACCCGCCGAATGAACAGGTGCCGAAAATGAAATAAAAATAAAACATTTTTTCAGCGTAATTTCTCGTGCCCGCCGACTTGTAAGTGCAAAAAAATTGCTAAAAAGATATTATTTTTATCTTCATTATTTACCGACCGCCGCATAACAAATCCAAGTTTCATTTTCCCGGGAGTATCATGATCAAAGTACCGAACTCTTGCGCAGCTGAGAAACAAGGTTATACATGGAATAAAATTGAATTTCATTTCGTCTCTTCTCTCCAATTAATGATCTCACTCATAATTCTTTGAGAATCACACAAATCTAATGGGAAAAAAAGAATTAATTTTTTTTTTTTTTCCCGCTCTCCTCAAAAACATTGCCCTATAAAAACCTGAAAAACAAGGAATAAAAAAAGTCTGGCCTTACCAACTAAATTTATATAGGTTGGGGTTCAGTTGTGTGCATGACCAACAGTAGGTGTATTTCCAGTGTACATGTGTCAATATCTAAAACTGATAGTCACAAAAGTTGTTGCCAAGGAGACGGTACTGAGATCAAGAGCAAAATAGCGAATGGAATGAATTTTTTTATTTAATAAGGCCTACGCTTCTCTGTAGATAGATTTTACTAAGGTGTGAGGATGAAGTGCCGATATACAAGTTTATGTGAGATAGAGTATTACTGTTCAGGGTTGCAAGCCTTGACTCTACCGAAAATCAACCATTGAAATACAGTGTGAGCTGAACAACACCAGAGAGAAGAAACTTGCTACAGGAAGTGTCAACACTTTCATTTAAATTAAATATTTATTAATATTGATTTCATTTCACAAAAGATAACTCATGAAATTGTGCATTTGATGATTCTATGTCTAATTATACACAGGACAAAATATCTTGTGAACACTGATATATGGAGCTCATTTGCATAATTATCCCACAATGCACCACATGATGATCGCATGATCACAATTCACCAATTATGTTAGATCAGACAATACAATACTCACAATAGAATTACAGATGTAACCACCGCATGATGTCTTTTCTCCACCATAAACTTGAACTTTAGCTTTGTGTGTTGACAGAAAACTTAAAACAAGCAGTGCAATTGCCCAGACAGCCATAACAGGTGTTACTATATAAATGGAGAGCTCTAACGCAGATTTACTGTGGGAGAAGGGGGAAAAAAATACTGTAAAATTACATATTTTCTACATATTAATTTCATGGTTCAATCAAGAAATCTAATTACCCTACCGGTAACACACATCATATAGAAAAATTAAGTACAATCGTATACGTTCATTAAATAAAATGCATTATTCTACGTCATCTGGCAGCGAAAACCTGGTGCGAACATGTTCAAAAGTGTTATGCATGCTTGCAAGTGTGTTTTATGGTCAGCCATAACAGGTGTTACTATATAAATGGAGAGCTCTAACGCAGATTTACTGTGGGAGAAGGGGGAAAAAAATACTGTAAAATTACATATTAATTTGGTGAATTTGCATAATAACTATTATGATAATTTGTTCACATATTGTATCAAAAGAAGTTGATACAATATTTTAAGCATACCTACATGTATGTTGTTTTGGAGGTTTACAAAATATTCATTCATCAGTCTGAGAACTATAAGGAAGATTCCTCTCCCCCAAAATGAAAATTTTCTCCAAAGTTGGGAGAATTCATCAGATCAGGAAACAATTAGTATCAGGAGACAATTACTTGATTTACATTATTATGTTCTGCCTATATGTTTAAACATTTTCTTATATACTACAGAAAAAGTGCCATTGCTCAAAACGTCTAGCTGGTTTGAATAGTTACTTAGAAAAGCCAAACAGCAAACTATATGTTCATTTTCCCAAAGTTAAAAAATATAAAATATAATAATCTCCATTTTGAGGAAAAGTGCTTTTCTACATGTAAGAAATATAAACAATACACTATAATACATCCTGGTATTTGATCTCTGGTAGAGAAAACTAATACTTAATTTGAACTTGGAATTTATTTTCACTGAAGAAATGATTCAGCGAAAATAAAATACCTTTTTTCTCATATTTTACATTCATTAAAA